CACAGGAGAGAACCAACAAACAACTCTACTCACATACAACACCGAGCTCATTGGGACTCAAACCCAGGTTGCATTGATGAGAGGCGAGCGCTCTCACCGCTACGCTACACGTGCAACAACATTTTTTTGGACTAGGTGTGCATTGTATTACAATATATACTTAAAGAAAAAGTGGTCCTAATATTGCACAGTCAGGGTAGACATGTGACTGCTTGTGCAATCCAGTAAGGACCAAAACTAATTATAGAAGTTAATTGTGAGGGTATTATTAAGAATGATCAAGACCTTCTTTTCCTACTTCTGACAAATTGAATGACTTGTTTTGAGTATAATGTACGATAACTGCAGGTTGCCCCAAATACATGCACACCTGGGGCCCGTTGTACGAAGTGTGGATAGTGCTATGTGATGGATAAATTTTACTGTATGCAGTGGATAAATTTATTGGATAATAAGTTATTATAGTATAACAAATAATATTAAGTTAATTATAATACTAAATTAATAATTCTTAATATTAATAATATATAACGCGTCAATATACATAATCATGTGAATCATAAATTGTAAATATCTTTTATTGTTTATTATTGTAAAAGTGTTGTAAATTTAATAAATAATATCTTTAACAATACAATATTGGATAACAGCGTGGACTTATCCACTGGATAAGGATTTATTTATCAGATAGCGCTATCCATCCTTTGTACAACCTGGCCTTGTATTGTTTGTATATTGGCAATTGGTCAGATACTCCCCTATATTCGCTATACGGGTATGTGCCGCCAAACAGGGTATTGTTTTCAGCGATTCTACTCTGGGACAGGGTATATAAAATTACGCTTGCTCTGGAACAGGGTATATAAAATCACGCTCGCTCTGGGACAGGGTATATGAAATCATGCTCTCTCTCTCTGGAACAGGGTACATATTTTTGCAATACTGGAACAGGGTATGGTTTTCAGCGATATTGCTCTGGAACAGGGTATGAATTTCAGTGGTTTTACTCTGGAACAGGGTCATGGTTCAGGGCTACCCTAAACGGGCAAGAGTACCCCCCCCCCCCCCAAGGGTTTGGATGACCATGTCTGTTGATGACCATGTTCACTCACCAATGCTACAGTTTCACGTTCTCTGTTGCTCAGGGTCAGCCTTGATATTGTGCAGAATATTCACGTTCCAATGAAGGTCTGTGAAATTTGAAATTGTTTGTATTGTTGAAGTATGTTTTAATCTTTCCCAGGACAGAAAGATGAAGATTTTACAAGAAAAAGTTCACCTTCTTGAAAAAGCCAGAGGTAAATAGAGGATACAGTTTTCATAGTATTCATGGTTCTGACTCCCCGTACAGTAGTTACTATTGCTAGATGTCCCACAAAGTCAATAAACTACTCTGCTACAATATCTAAGAATTTAAGACTGTGATCCCAGAATATTCGGGTTATAAATTGTTCTACTGTTCACTCACCTGTGAAAATATAAAAAAATGCCTCGTAATCCCTGTAGTACTCTTTAAAACAGATATTGTACTGCGTATTTGTTTGTGGGACAAGATTGTAGTTCTGCTAGGAAAACTGCTGCCTCGTAATCCCTGTAGTACTCTTTAAAGCAGATACTGTACTGCGTAGTTGTTTGTGGGACAAGATTGTAGTTCTACTAGGAAAACTGCTGCCTCGTAATCCCTGTAGTACTCTTTAAAGCAGATACTGTACTGCGTAGTTGTTTGTGGGACAAAATTTCAGTTCTGCTAGGAAAACTGCTGCAGTGGTTTTTGCTGTTGTTCGCTATTGGTTTATTTTGAGAAGTAGCGTTTGGGGCGAGAGAAGAGGTATGACCACCAAGCTGGTCAACATGTCACCAGCGACGGCACCAGCGACCGACCAGGCATTATTTCTAGCCCTGTCATCTTTCCTTTCTTTCTCTATATTGCAATATTCAGAATCATGAATATAAAGTAACGCTTTTTATTTTTTTGCCATAACCCAGGATATAACTCTGGTACAATTGGAGACTTGGAGAAAAACTGTCAAGCACTGCAGTCTCAAGTCCATGATATGGAGGTACAGTTATATAAAACTTTAGTCACTATAATAGGTGAAACTCACAGATCAAACCCTGAAACAACCTCTGGGCTGATCTAAGTCAGGGCATGGCTAACTCACAGATCAAACCCTGAAACAACCTCTGGGCTGTTCTAAGTCAGGGCATGGCTAACTCTCAGATCAAACCCTGAAGCAACCTCTGGGCTGTTCTAAGTCAGGGCATGGCTAACTCTCAGATAGAACCCTAAGACAACCTCTGGGCTGATCTAAGTCAGGGCATGGCTAACTCACAGATCAAACCCTGTGTTGTGGAACTGACGACAGAAAACGCCTTTTACAACTCAA